TCCTACTTAAAAGAATCCTGTTTCTTTTAAACTCCTACTTAAAAGAATCCTGTTTCTTTTAAACTCCTTCTTAAAAGAATCCCGTTTCCTTTAAACCCCTTCCTAGAAGAATCCCGTTTCCTTGAAACTCCTTCTTAAAAGAATCCCTTTTCCTTTAAACCCCTTCCTAGAAGAATCCCATTTCCTTGAAACTCCTTCTTAAAATGATCCCTTTTCCTTTAAACCCCTTCCTAGAAGAATCCCGTTTCTTTGAAACTCCGTTTTAGAATAATTCAATTTCCTTGAAACTCCTACTTAAAAGAATCCTGTTTCTTTTAAACTCCTACTTAAAAGAATCCTGTTTCTTTTAAACTCCTTTTTAAAAGAACCCAGTTTCCTTAAAACTCCTTCTTAAAAGAACCCCGTTCCGTTGAAACTCCTTCTTAAAATAACCCCGTTTTTTAAATTCCCTCTTAGAAGAATCCCATTCCGTTGAAACTCCTTTTTAAAAGAATCTCGTTTCCCTAAAGTTCTTTATTGGTTTTTCTCTTGAAAACTTTTTAAGAATTCGTATTGTGGTTTAAATACGTTTGCAAACTTTTATGTTATTTTAAAACAACGAAATAAATTCAACCAAAAAGATCTACTTATAAAATATAACAAACGGAAACATATTTCACTTAATGATAAACGAATCAAACAAATTCATGTCGATGTAATGCGGGCTCTATTACATAGTGAGTCATGTCATAGCAGACTGGACGAATCCATTTGAGGTTTGCGAAATTACTACATAAAAAAAAGAGGTGGAAGGTCAGTAGAGTGGGGTAATCCCCTGGACGTAGAGGCATAAACCTAATAAATAGCATATTACTATCAGGCTTACCTGAAGACGGCCAACAGATCAGTGCTAGTTACGCTTGTGTGTGAGGGTGGGGAAAAGAACATAATGTTTCTGTATGACAACATAAAATAAATCATTTTGCTATGAGGGAAAGAAAACAAAATGGAGCGCAATACCCAATTATCGTTTAAAAAAAAATGATATTTCCTCGACAAAAGATAGGCAGGTTGCCAAATGTTTATAATTCATTTCAACTGATCCTAAACCAGTACTGGTCGAACACATACATTCACAACCCGATATAAAGGTTAAAGGTTACATTTCTGTAGATCCAGTTTGATCTTCGACCTTGAGAAGATTCAAAAGGGCAAAACTGTTCGTCTCATCTGATCGTGGGACTAGCTAGGTGAATAATCAGTGGTTTCTTTTCCTTTAGTTTCGTGAAAACAAACAAACAAACCACTTTAATTTCAACAGCAGCCGGTACGTGGGAGTTAATGAGTTAGCTGTTCTTATCAACCAGTTGTGTTAGAGACAGGAAATTGTCTGTATAAGCATAACGAGAAAAATGCACGCCAATCACGAGACTTATTATGGAAGGACAACCAGTTTTCTTTATGGATCCGATTATGCCCGCAATGCGGGTTGGAAATTACTTGTTCGACATCATGTTTTATTATCATGCTAATAGTAACGATGAATGAAGGGCATATCAAGTAGAGATGATACCGCTGTATCTATATAGTATTGCTGTACAGTAAAATGCAATACACACGTATTCCAAAGTTCTCTAGCATAAAATATATATCTTGAGTATTCACTCAGTAAAGTGTGCTATACATGGATATCAGAGTTATTGAACAGCTCTGACACGTATTCCACTCTGTACTGTCATATGTAAACGTTTGGAACCGTCAACATGGACATATTTGCATCATTTGTCTGGTGTATTAACAGCAAGGAGTAACGTATTTGTTTCGTATACCTTAAATATACCACGTAAAAAAATACGTGTATGAATAAACTGGTGAATACGTAAACAGTCGAACCTAGTATCCATGACTTCTTTTGGATAATAAACCGTGTTATAATTTGGACTTCATACTTCTGGTATTTTAAACCTACATCGACAATCCAAGAAATATATTTTTCAGCTCTTTTTGTTTCCCGTCTGTTAACCAATATAATCATGTAAATAACACCGTAATTTTTTCCGGTTTTTTTTCTAATGATGATTGTCATCATCTCGGAGTTAGCTTTTCGATCTTTTTTTTTGTATCCCTGTCGGAAATGATAGTTAGAAATAAAATAAGTCTTTCTTTTTCTTAGTTTATATAGAGGTATAAATCCTCTGTTTCGGAATGACATTAAGAAAGACAGCTGGAAATCGTTTTAAGCCTACTTGAAATGGTGATACTTCAAATAGAGTAGCTGTTAAATCAACATATGCCAGAGTAATGTTGACACTATCTTAGTCCTAAAAGTCGACACCTAGCCATGCTTGGGCAATAGAGCACTAAAGCGTGACGTCATGGTGCATGGGTAATATTCAGCTTTGTCAGGTAGTGCGGTAAATATCTGATAGCTGAAACTTTGCATATTTATAAAAAGTAAAGAAACAGACAAAAAGCTCCGACTTTTAGTGTATTAGGAGCGTCTTTTCCTAGTTTTCCATCCGCATTCTCAAGATAATCTTGAGCTTGTTCTTTTTTAGCACAGAATGATGTCAGCACATATAATGTTGTTATAAAATAACTTGATATCGGATATTAGATATATTTCAATGATTAGCATTCAGAGATATCGTTAACATTTAACAACATTATATTAACATTAAAAATATATTATTGTGTAACGTAATACTAATCTAAAGAACATTAGTGTTAACGTATAAAATACGTTTTAAAGTTATTTTAACACATAACATGCATGTAAAGGATATTATTGTAACACGCAACAATCTAAAACAATATTATTATTATAATACATATCTAAAGCATATTATTATAACACGTACCTAAACAATATAGTTACAGCACACAACGTGTCTGAATAATATCATCGCAACACACACCACGATCTAAAGAATATTATTATAACACGTATCTAAACATTATAGTTACAGCACATAACGTGTCTAAATAATATCATCGCAACACACACCACGATCTAAAGAATATTATTATAACACGTATCTAAACAATATAGTTACAGCACACAACGTGTCTGAATAATACCATCGCAACACACACCACGATCTAAAGAATATTATTATAACACGTATCTAGACAATATAGTTACAGCACATAACGTGTATAAATAATACCATCGCAACACACACCACGATCTAAAGAATATTATTATAACACGTATCTAAACAATATAGTTACAGCACACAACGTGTCTGAATAATACCATCGCAACACACACCACGATCTAAAGAATGTTATTATAGATATAATAGTATTGTCTGTTGTATTTCCATGTAACTACTTCGCAGGGTATGGAGGTTCATTGGGTCCGTGGGAAGATATAGTTACAGATATTAGTTTAACAAGTATGTAAAGGATACAACTGCAATACATAACATGTGTCTAAATAATGCCATTGCAATACACACCACGCATCTGACGAATAGTATTATAACACATAACGCGTATCTAAAGCATGATATTATAATACATAACACGCACTTAAAAACAATTAATATAACACGTACTTAAATAACGTACATTCAACACATAACACGTGTCTAAATAATATTATTGTAATACACACCACGCTACTATTTTAACACATTACACGTATCTGTTGAATATAATTGTAACACATAACATGTACCTAAAGTATGTTATTTTAACACATTACACGTATCTGTTGAATATAATTGTAACACATAACATGTACCTAAAGTATATTATTTTAACACATAACGTATCTGTTGAATATAATTGTAACACATAACATGTATCGTGTTAAAATAACATACTTTACAATTATATTCAACAGATACGTGTAATTAACACATAACATGTACCGTGTTAAAATAACATACTTTAGCTTTATCATTAGATACCGTTTCAGTGCACAAACATTATTACACAGTATTTTACTGATATAACACAAACAATAATATATTCACGTTTGTATATAGCTTAATACATATTAGTAAATTACTTCTTGAACGAGCCATTAAAACTTAATTCGTATTTTTAATATGAACTTTATGAGTCGCTAATTGCTCATTTCTAAATCAGAGCAAAATTAATTACTTTCCCTCGTCTGATTGTTTTTGCTAATTGTGATAATAAGATTTTGTAGTAATGGATTATTTGTTTTTGTCACAAATCTCGTTCGAAGCGCACAAGTAAACAAGTTCGGACGAGCAGTTTTCACTTTTCACTTTCAATTATCTTTCGGCCGAGATAACAAAAAAGTAAAGTCAATGTTACTGTATCCAGTCGTCCGGATGTCACTCGATGGTACATTTTACAGTAGATAGACTTAATCAAAGTTTACTGACACTTTATGTAACGAATGAATGAATGCATATCTTAAAATTGTATTTTCAATGCATCATATTACCGTATTTTCAACGCATAAATTGGCCTTATTTTTTAACTCGTGATAATCCCATAATTTCGAAACGCGCAGTATTTTGTTCACATCTACTAGAGGTTTTCCTTCATAATGTAAATCCAGTGGAATCTTAGCTCTTGAAAACCTCGTGTTGCTTTTTATATTGATTTGATGTTTTGAATTTCCAAATGGAATTTTTTCTATTAGTTTTTTTTTCTACAGTGTCAAAAGGTCACGCTGATGAGACAAATGTAAGCCTGACCTTTCAAAGTTCAACTTGGAAGCTTCAAATGACGGAAATCCATGAAAAAAGATCCGTAAGAAAAAACAAAAAAACATCCAATTTTGGGCTTCTTCTACAAGTACATTTATTGGTTTAATAATTTCTCAGTAAGTTCGTTTAATCCTGCAAACGAGTCAAGAACGTATATGCTAAAGGTTTTGAAATAAAACTCTCTTTACTGTCATTACTCCCGAACTCGAACCCTTCCGTGTAATGAGCGTAAACTGAAACTCATCTATTTCTATGATAAAGAATAGTACATATTTCTTTCCACTAGAGTTAGGCTTAGGGTCAGTGTTTACATGGGGAAAACACTTGAAATGTTACATGAAATATTTCTTTCCACTAGAGTTAGGTTTAGGGTCAGTGTTTACATGGGGAAAACACTTGATATGTTACATGAAATATTTCTTTCTACTAGAGTTAGGTTTTGGATCGGTGTTTACATGGGTAAAAACACTTGAAATGTTACGTGAAATATTTCTTTCTACTAGAGTTAGGCTTAGGGTCAGTGTTTACATGGGGAAAAACACTTGAAATGTTACATGAAACATTTAATGTTCACGTGTGAATTTTAGAAATAATTACTGTTTCTAAAAAACGCTACATTAAACTTTAGACGACGTATAACACAACCCATGTGTTAATAGTTCAAACGATACATAATGTTAATACGACTATAACCTTCTTAGATCATCGTAACAGCCAACCACACTGCCAAACTTAGAATAGATAGAATATTATAAAACTTAGATCATTAACAATATACCACACTGATAAACTTAGAACATAAAGAATACAAAACTAAATCATTATAACAACATGCCTTATTGCTAAACTTAGAGCAGAAATGATATAAAACGTAGATCATTATAATAGCAGGCCATGCTGCTAAATGTAGAACAAAAAGGTTATAAGACTTAGATTATTATAACAGTAGGCCACACTGCTAAAGTTAGGATACAACGTGTATAGAAGTTAGATTATTATAACAGCAGATTACACTATTAAACTTAGAACAAGGGTTACTTTAAGCATTATTCATCATGAAGTATGTAGTAGTTGTCACCACACTGTATATCTGTAACTACGATAACTCTAAGCTCACTTTAAACAATGACGTTACGTTAGTTACATTAATATGTAGCGTCCACTAACACCTTAACCTATGACCTTACATTAATTACATTAATATGTAGCGTCCACTAACTCCAAGCTCACATTAACCTATGACCTTACATTAGTTACATTAATATGTAGCGTCCACTAACACCTTAACCTATGACCTTACATTAATTACATTAATATGTAGCATCCACTAATTCTAAGCTCACTTTAAACAATGACCTTACATTAGTTACATTAATATGTAGCGTCCACTAATTCTAAGCTCACCTTAAACAATGACTTTACATTAGTTACATTAACCTGCAGCGTCCACTAACTGTTAGCTCACATTAACCTATGACCTTACATTAGTTACATTAACATGTAGCGTCCACTAACACATTAACCTATGACCTTATATTAGTTATATTAATATGTAGCGTCCACTAACACCTTAACCTATGACCTTATATTAGTTACATTAATATGTAGCGTCCACTAACACATTAACCTATGACCTTATATTAGTTACATTAATATGTAGCGTCCACTAACACCTTAACCTATGACCTTACATTAGTTACATTAATATGTAGCGTCCACTAACACCTTAACCTATGACTTTACATTAGTTACATTAATATGTAGCGTCCACTAACACCTTAATCTATGACCTTACATTAGTTACATTAATATGTAGCGTCCACTAATTCTAAGCTCACCTTAAACAATGACTTTACATTAGTTACATTAATATGTAGCGTCCACTTACACCTTAACCTATGACCTTACATTAGTTACATTAATATGTAGCGTCCACTTACACCTTAACCTATGACCTTACATTAGTTACATTAATATGTAGCGTCCATTAACTCTAATGTTGCTACTTTAGTTATATTCAAGGTACATGGTCTTATAATACAGTCTCATTTTTCATCAATATGATGTTTGTTATACAACCGACACTCTGATTGGTTAGTTTGTTATATAACCGACACTCTGATTGGTTAGTACAGTATATCGTAAACATTATGTGTGTGTGTGTTTTTTAAAGATTTTTACTAATTTTAATCCTTTTTGCAGTTTTAAAAAATATTTTTTTTTCTAAACGTTTCCCAATTATACACACACTTGCTGAACTCTTGGTATTTTCGTTTTAAACTGGACTAACAAACTTTTTGCGTGTAAACATAATATTACCTAAATCAAATTTTACTTTATTCACCGAATCTCGCCGCCGATCATGCGTGCTGTGGGGGCATTATAATATCAATCCCACTATCCGTTGGTCAAGAGTAGCCCAAGAATTGGCGGTGGGCGGTGTTAACTACCTGCCTTCCCTATCGTTTCAAAATTTGAGACGTCTAGCACAGATAAACACTGGGAAACTTTGCGCTAAATTCAACAAACAACATTTTGTAACAAAAATAAATAGTTACATTGATTTCAGCACCCCCCCCCCCTCAGTGGCACAGCGGTTTGTCTACGTACTTACAACGCTAGAAACCGGGTATCGATACCCGTGGAGGGCAGAGCACGGATAGCCCATTGTATGGCTTTGGGTTTAACTACAAACTAGCAAACAATCCACTAAAAGCAAGGTCCTTCGAGAAAGATCTTGGGTCAGTAAAACGTTTTTTAGAATTTTAATAATTGTCACGTAAAGCAAATTTTATCACCGAAGTAGGTTTAAGGGTGTAGTTGCTAATTTAGTATATGCTTAAGACGAAACCGACTTGATAAGACTCTGTTAGGTACGGCCGTCCACGCGCTATCTGCGCAGAATGCATGACGTAAAACACTTAAATGACGTAATAGGGAACACGGGAATATAACTCAGATGGGAGTTTTTCACCGATTTGTTGCACTATGTTGCTTGAAATGACGTTTAGAAGGGCGGAGTGGGGGTTGATTTAAAAAAGTGAAAATAATAAAAGCTGGGAATGCCTTAGTAAGTTAGCTCTATTAATGGCTCTGTTAATGGCTCTGTTAATGGTATGTGTGTTATTGGTGTGTATTCTACAACATTATTATAGACTATCTGTGTGTTATTGGTGTGTATTCTACGACATTATTACAGACTAATTGTGTGTTATTGGTGTGTATTCTATGACATTATTACAGA